TCACGCGGACGAAGACACGAGCAACAGCTAGATTTTATATGTCAAATTATTATATTACTAAGATGAATTGAAATACAAATCTTCCTTCAAATAATAATTACATACCAAAAGCCGTAGTTGAAGCCGCAGCGCACATTCACAGGTAAAGAGATACGTGCGTTCGCTAACAATGCTAGATTATCAATGATTCGAGCCAGATGTCCACGTGCGGGCAGACGTCGCGGCGCCACACCCCACACCCCTCCCCCGACCCTCACCACATGCAGTAAATACCGCTTCACACGACACACTTAATATTAAGTAACAATTATCACATTAATTAACTTACACTTGAGGTTCTTGTTATGTAATATTGTCTTATAGAACAGCGCTTTTGATTCAAGTCTGCTACGTAGGTAAGTAATGAAGATTTCCATAAAAAATAAATTAACCAACACTAAAATCAGCTTCACACATTGAACAGTCAAACTGTATAGTTTAGCTGTCAGTTAAAATTCTGGCTACACAAGTTAGTGTCTAAGTTGTAAAGTCTGAAAGTGGGATGTACAAAAGACCAATGGGAGAGTACAGCATTTAACGTAATTACGTTTCCTATGTTTGTATATCCACACTGTGATATAAATTGCAAAATTAAGTTTAAAAAAGTAACAGATAAATAATCTACATCATTTTAGAAGTGTAATTTACGTATTTTGTACAACACTAGCAACTAATGTTTTGTGTCAACGTAATGAATGTACAAATGCTTTTTGTATGCAGTCGATAACTTGTAAGGTAAACGAGATATTTATCGTCAGATCTACGTGAGATTCTAATATATTCACCATTTTACAGTACTGTAATAGAAATATGAAGGAATACATTCAAAGATGTGTAATCGTTATTATTAACTACATTTAATTGCATATTTTGTTCAATTTGATTTAAAATCCGAACAATTAACGAAATTTTGTAAATATCATTGTCCAATATGCCGAGACTGTGTGTTACATTTTAGAATAGGTTGCGTAGCCTCATTTGACAGCAATACGCCAGATACGTACAAGGACCTAACCTAACCTAACCTTGGCAACTGTTTCGAATACTAAGTAATTTTATATGCGTAGTCCAATTTTATAATTGTTTGTTATGCTTTTTGTTTATTAACTACTACTAATTGTAAGTTACTAATGTAAGTACTGGTAGGTAGGAAATAAAATCATAGACTTTTGCTCTGAATTGCTGTAAAGGCGTTTATACACCTAGTAAAACGTTCACGAGATCTTATGATGTTCAAATTCTCCTCGACTAAAACCGCCTAGGGGCCACAAAATCAAATATCGTATATTTGGATGCCAGTTACCGATTATAAATGCCTATAACTGGCACGAGACAGTATCGTGCATTCTAGTGTGTCAACTACTAGTATGTGAATTCTCGCCCTAAGAGCGCGTGCACACCTGTGACTAAACAACAACAACAACAACAAAAACAACTGTTTAGTCCCGCTTTGATTCCTATGAGCTGATATGGAGGTGTGCACACTACTCGAATTTTAGTTGTGCAACTAAACAGTTGAAACAATCGACAATCGCACTACTGTTGTGCGATAGTTTAGTCAAAGGTGTGCATCTGCTCTAAAGGAGATCATTACTCTTGTTAACGTTCCATTGTTTGCTTGAACATCGTCAATATGGTCATTGAGTGGCAAAGAACATGTTGCCTTCATGAGACATGACAGGGGCATGTCAAATGCTGCCACTGACCTCTTGCGGCCGACACTTGACTACAAATTAATGTATCACGTGGATTGTACACAAAATGATATCGTATTTCATATTTAGTCGGCTTTACGACAGTTGGTATGTAAATATGTATTTAAATTTTTTTGGTAAATATTTTGTTCTACCAATATTGCTCTATACATTTAGTAGTGTGACCTTGTATTAAGGTTGTGGGACCAAAATTAAGTTTAACTAAATAACCATATATCCTTTCCCATATAAAATCCTCCGGTGCGAATATTGCAACTGCGCTTATTTATATCTTTACAATTAATGGTTTCCTGTCATTTTCATAATTTCCATGAATAAGAACTTATTTCGTATTATAATTATGCATTTTATAGTAAGGACATATTGCGTACGCAGTCTCACGGCCCAAAAACGCAGTTCCGGAAGTGCAGCGTGCTAATTGTGCCGGCGAGCGTGGGAAGTGCACTCACACGCGCCTCCCGCCACTGCGGCCGCGGCCTTATGTCACATACGAGACAATCATACATATTCGGCTA